TAGCTCCTCTGCAGCCCAGTGAACTGAAGACCAGAGCTGGTTCACTCTACATTTTGTTTCAGACCCTTAAAACAGTGAGAACACACCTGGTGTAATTATTTTAAAAGCAGCAACTAATGATTATTGTTACTGATTAAGTGATTAATTGTTTTGTGTATAAAAACAGAAGATAGTTGAAAAATCCCTTTTACAATTTCCTACAGTTTAAGGTAATTTCTTCAAAAGTCATGTTTTCCGTCTGACCAACAGTCCCAACACCCTAAAACATTTGGTTTACTGTCATATATGGCAAAGAAAGGCATTGATTTCTCACATTTAAGAAGCTCAACCATCAAATGTTTGGCATTTTTGCTTTAAAAAACAACAATTATTTGATAATGAGAAAAGTAACTAAGGGTATTTTTCAATTGACAAAATCAGTTAATTGTAGCAGCTCTAATTATATTACAATATGTACAAAGTGTGGATAAAAGTATCATAATTGAGCTTATTGAGTCTCAATTCATTACATAAGTGGTTTAAAAAGTTATAAACATTGGAAGTAAATCCAAACTACACCAGCTTTTTTTTTTTTCCCCACTTGGTCAAAATTTGAGGAAAATGCGGCTCACCGCAGTTTCTCTGCAAAATAAAAGTATCAGAATATCCATGGAAAAATCTACTTCTCTCTTCTCCATCCACATGCTCAATATCAAAACACAGCTTCTGCTAGTGGCACACGACACACAGCTAGCTTTGAAGACACAACAAAAACAAAAAAACAGGTCAATATTTTATTCAGTATTACTCTAAACTAACTCTTCAGTTAGACTCTTTTGACTTGGTGAGTCAGAACTTTGGGACCATATTTTCTTTGCCACATATTTTAGCTTTTCTTGTGACAATGGACTTCTATATTCAGATATTGCAGATTGGAAATGGATCCAGTATGTTGGTGATGGAATTTCTGTATGTCAAACTCATAACTGATTTTTTAATCACTTACCTCAAACACTGAATGCATTACACACACAGCCAGTTCTGACCTCCCTGGGGCCCAAAGTAAAATTCTGCTAAGGAGCCCTCCAGCCCTATATTTCCTGTCAGCTATGTAGACCTTTTTAAAATATAAAAATACTGTTGATACTGTGGCTTGGTTCAATACTTAATGCATATTACTCACTGCGAGATGTGCATTCATATTGCCTAGTATGCCCCAGCAAATCAGTATTTTACATTCAATATTTCACCAACAGTCAATGTCAATCCGTTGTTTTCATTAGGCCAGAGTTGTAACCAATCATCATTGTTTTGTTTTAAGAAGATGTGCGCCATATTTTGTCTGGACTAGTATCCACAGAGGTTGCTGCCAAATTCCATTTGGTGCACGAGCATATCGACGTTTGTTCACGACGCGGTTATCGTTTACACCGCCTGCTGTTTCTAGCGTTGACCGTTGGCGTTTAACAAACGTAAAAATTAGTTGTATTTCACTCTCACGTTTGCCACAAAGTCACACAACAACTCTAGAGCAGCTGGTGAGCAAAACAGAGACAAACTACCCGGCTCGGTTAGCAAGACAGACTAGAGAGAGATACGCTGCAAGCTAGCACTTAAACGTTAGCCAACCTTTATTTGACATCAAAGTTGGAGGAGAAAACAAGTTTACCTGTTTGCTGTTCCCGCCATTCACACTTGTGGTGTTTTTTTCCTCTTCGTGACCAGAAAGTCCCGTTTCATCCTCTCCGAAGTTGTAAACATCGACAACTGCTTTGACCTTTTATATACAGTCTATGGCTTTAACCTGAGAGGAAGGCGGGTTTCTGAGCGAAAATTGAGGCCCCACGCAACTTACATACTGAGTGTACAGGGCCGCTCGGAACATGGCGATAGCAGTTAATTAGCACAATTTTAAAGGGCTTGAAGACATCACTAAAACGTACGTCATGTGAGACAGCCAATGACAACAAATGGAATGTTCCAAGTTATCATATTGATATTTAAGGTGCGTTGACTGATTCACTAAACACTCATGCATTGAGTAACATGAAAGTAAACATCCCACCTTAAAAGTTGCCTGTAGCTTCCAATAGCAATCCATGAATTTCCTGGCACCAATCCTTTAAGAATAGGTAACGCCACACCTCAAACATTTATATACAAGTAAAACTAATATAGAGAATGGAGTGCAATTTTTTTACAGTCCAGTTGTCATTTTTGGAGTAGTTTTACTTTCTTAATTTACAAAATTACAATGTTCCTGCTAGTTGATTTAAAACAAACAAACAAACAAAAACATTAAACACACACTTAAGGCCTAGATATGAAGATACCAGCAAAATGTGGTAAAATAATTCTTAATTGTCAATTTATTCTTTTAAATTGTTGGTGAGCATTAATATGAGCTTGATTGGTATCAGGAATATCCCTTACTTAATGTGGTGTCTTATCCCATTTTAGAGTAAAGTAGATAACCTCATACCCAGGTTATGATTATGCCTGGTTGGATACACATAAGCATGTAAAGACCATCCTGTCTACTGATGGGTTTGGAACCATGCCAGCCCCATATAGGCTTAATGTTCTAGTCAAATCAGCACTCTGGCCTTTGATAGCATTGCATCAGACAGAATATGTCAATACTGCATGTAAGTAGGTATCAATAAACAGGTTATTTAAAGTTCATGAAGTTTATAATCATGCATAGATTGCTCTATTCTCAGAGGGAGAAAACTTTCACATTCACAGGTGTAGCTCATCAGCAGGAAAATCACATGTGTATTTAATAACCTCAAAGCAGCATCCCAGTTAGGATTCAGTTCCATTACCTGGTGGTCATGGCTGGATTAACCCCATAGGTAGCCCCTGTAGACCCCTATTATACATGGCAGTTTCATTATTTCCCCTGGCACCCAGAAACCAGATTTGGGCCGGTATTCACAGAGCATTTTATCTTACTTAAGAGTAATCCTAAGTAACACTAAAAGGTTTTAACTAAAAGTTTTCTCCTAAGTCCTAATCATAAAGCTGCTGAGACCAACTTTTACTAAGGAAAGGCGAAAACTCCTGAGTTAAAGGTGCGACTGCGTTGCTATGGCTGACGTCAATTTTCCTGAACGAGCTCCCTTGCTGGAACCACAGCGATTGGTTGATGAAAGACCGGTGTGTGCTGGTGAAAACACATGCGCAACATCCCGATGTAACAATAATGATTAAAAAAAAAAAAAAAAACACTGAGAAATAAACGAATATAAATTAAATAATAACGGATTAGGTTCTGTTTACAAAAGTAGTGCATTCTTCAAAATGCATCCGCATGATAAGGTTTGTGTCGACCCAGGAGGATTTAATTTAACTATAAACACTTGGATCACTTCTCTCAATGAAAAAGAAAAAAAAACTAACCTGTGCTAGACTACCCAACTAAAGCCTATTAGCCACAGTCCGTTGTAGCTGCAGCCTACCTGTTGTAAACTAGCTGTGGTCCCAGCTGTGGGTTGAAGTGTGTGAAGATTTCCCCTGTCCCCTACCAGGTGACATCCAGCTGGAAGATGATTCTGTCTCAGGTCACTCTTCATTAAGATCCATGAATTGTGTGTAGATCCTGGACACTGTACAACAATATCTAAAACTGTACAGGCAGCATCGATTACAACCTGTGTGTTGATGGTGTGATTTTGTTTTCCTGCTTACAAATACCTTGTGATGGTGCAATAATTAATGTGTTCCATCTATGGCACCAATCACACTGGGTAGACTGGCAATTGCCATGAAGCTGCTTTATTTCTCTGTAGTTGTTGAACATCTAAAATAAATCATATGAATTGTCTTATGATGTCAGAGCGCTTTATTGTTTGGTGGATATATCGGCTTTTCTCTGTTGCCAATTAGCGCAGCGTTGATAAACACTTAATTTCCGCACTGATGAGGTTGTTTCAGTTGGAAGGAGATGTTATTTAATCCCTCACAAATTCCACAAGGATCATTATTCCCTCGTAATTGAGTCGTTTCTTTTAAGTAATTCAGCATCGTTTATAATGTTTCCAAAACGCTGTGACGTGGAATGACAGCGGCCCTTTAAGATTCTTTGTGATTTGTTCATAGTGAGTTGGGAGTCCTCTCCACTATTTCTAACTTCTTCCAGATTTAGGGAAGTTTAAGCTTTAACTTTAAACTTAAACTTTAAACTACCCCTAAGCCCTAATTTGCTAATTTAACAGTTTTCTATGACAATAAATTCAACACGTTTGTTTCAGATAAAACAAGAAATAAGAATAATATAATAATATAATAATTCTGACATTTTATACACTAATTAATGAGTCGATTATTAAATAAAATAATTGAAAATGAAGATAAATGTTGGTTCCAGCCTCATAGTTCTCCTGTGGTGGATTAGTACTAATTTACCCCAGGTCTTAAAAGAAGTACAAGTGGCTCAATCAGAGCTGATATTTAACGTTAGTGGTAGAATTTGCCAATAATCAAATTACATAGACCCAAATGATTTGGTGTAAACCGTCTACCCTCGCACCTAACTTAGATAGTGGACATGGCATTACATAGTATACAAGTGTATAATTATCACATAGTATATCAATTATGAGACACTAAGACAAATTTAGTAAAGCAATTGAAAATTTCTACTATCTAAATCAGCAGAGATTAGTAAATTAAACTTTGAAAATCAAAGTCAAACTTACTATCTTATAATTTTGACTAAAAAATTGGCTTGATATCTGAAAACATTAACTTATGTCAGGTTTTATCAACTATTTTCACTTGGTGGCTCATTGTTTTGATGTACTTTTTAAAAAATAAGTTTTTATATCAGTCCTAACCTTTCAGTTTGGTTTATTAATTATTGGCCAAAATGGCCTGCTGGAAGTTCAATAGTGGAAAAGATCTTAGTGTGTATCAAACCTCAAATTCTGGCAGTGTCAGTGTCTTATCGTCACACTGAAGCAACATGGAACTGGTGCAACTGAACACTAAATGTATAAATAAGTATTAAAACAACGTAAAGAATATCTCCTCTTATTAGAGGCCTTTATTCCAGTCTGATAAAGCCAACAGCATTTTCTTTATATTCACAATCTTCCATTAACCTGATTCACAGGTAAACCTCCACATCCCCAGTTCTTCACAACTTTTTTCCTCACATGTTGGTTACACAATGATCACAAAATAGTGATTTCTCCCTCTTATCATATTTTTAACACTCCAGGCATATGCACTTATATTTATTATTTGTACAATATATTGTCAGTAAATCCATTCATCCATCCACCCACCTGCCCCACCCATCCACATGCATACACATAAACACTGTACAACTGTATTAATGGAGACATGTTTAAAGGCTGTTTGCCTTAACATTTAATATCCATTAGTCAAGGAAAGAGCTGAGTACCATTGTTTGTTTTCAAGTTCATGTTCTGAGCGCTGTGAGATGATTTGTTCTAAAAGCCAAATGGAGGAGGTGGCATGCAGAGATAATACAGAGTGGTGTTAACCTCTCAAGTGTTCAGAGGACCCCGGTCCAGTATTTCAGGAGGAGGAGAGAAAGAGGGGGGGGGGCAGATGCAGAGTGAGAGGGGAACAAAACATTTAAAATAAAAAGAAGAAAGAACATGAAAGAGCCAAAAAAAATTTCTTGAAAATTGTATAGTTCCTAAATAAAAAAAAAAACTCCAAATCCCTTCTTCTCCTTGTTCTAGCTCCAACTTATTTCACCTCTTAGTGTCTACACTTCTAAAGCCAAGCTGAGGGTGCAGAGCAGTTTTGATTCTTCTGTTGATTCCCCACTGTGGTACATACAGGAGTGATGAGTCTATATAAGTGATGAGATTTACAGTACAGTACAGACAGGTTACATCCAACATCATAAACCTCCAATACTGCTGCTTCCTCTGTAATAGAGGCTTACTGATACTCACTCCTCTGCAGCTCCTTTGGTCTCAGTTAGTCTGTGCAGTAGTAGAGGCTTGTTTGGCCCATGTATTATTAGTTTTAGGAATCCAGTGTCAGGACAGGAGGATGTCACCTTTGCAGTAAAGTGGCACAAATGCAGCTGCAGGAGAAAATAAGATACTGAAAAGTGCAAAGAGTCTTAACTTTTTGGTCGCTAGTTAGTTACATCTATGTTTTGGTTTATGAGACACATTTGGCTTTGGTCCAGAGGTTGCAAGATTGGAGAAGCCAGTGACCGCGGGTTGGTTTGAGATGAAGAGAAGCTGCCCCCGGACCGAGCCGGGCTCTTTTTGGCAGGGCCATGCTGGGTTAGGAAGAGCTCTGCGTTTGGAGAGAAAGAAAATAGGTAGACTGGCGTCTCAGTCTACCTGCCAAAAATGTTCTCGTACTCCAGCAGTATCAGCTCCACTATCTGGTTCTGGTAGACCATGTGGACCGCCATGTTCCAGGTCTCTGTTTCAGGGCGCAGCAGCGTGGGGCCGAACACGATGGCCACACTCTGGGTGGTCATACGGTTTTCCTCACCGTAGTCGATCACCCTGGAGGGAAGGAGGAGTGTTAGATAGTCAGATAAAATCACTCTAAAGGCTGAACCTTGACAAGAACAATTATCATCAGTCAACATTTCTTTCTCACAAAATCACTCATACATTCAAACACAAAGTAGAGGCAAACTCTGAAAACGGACAAACTGAATCATCAAATATATCAAATTCAAATGTTTGCCTCTGCCAATCAGCCAAGTTGGATGACATATGGTCACAATCTCCTCCTCCTGAGTTACAGCGTTGGATAATGACAAGAAATGTTTCTGCAGAACATTATGATGTCACAGTGAAGTTAACCTTTGACCTTTTGGCCATAAAACTTCATCACTTCATCCTGTTAGACATTTGTGTCATAAGAAGAAAATTAATTCTTGAGTTAAGTTCACGGAACCTGTAAGGTCACAGTGACCTTTGACCTCTAACCACCAAAATCGAATCAGTTCATCCTTGAGTCTAAGTGTCTGAATGTTTGAAGAAATTCCCTCGGGGCATAAAAATGTAGAGTAATGATTTACGTAGCAATCTCATTGTAATCTCTGTAGTGGTAAACGATTAGTTGATTAATCAATTGTTTGATTGACAAAAGAAGTATTTTGATAATCAATGAATCATTTAAGCCATTTATCAGACCAAAAGTGTTAAAGTTTCTCTGGTTTCAGACTCTTTGATGTGAGGATTTACTGCTTTTCTCTGTTTTGTATCATTGTAAATTAAATATCTTTGGGTTTTAGAGTGTGGCCTCTGGGAAATGTGTGATTGGACGAGAGATTAATCAAGTGAAAAAATAACCTGAAAGTTGAAGCCCTAAATCCCTGTTTCTTATATTCATTGTTTCCATGTGTAGAGAGCAGTTCTTATCCATTGTGATTCTGTTGTAGAATTCTTAAGCTTTAACTTCTGTTTTGGGAGGTGGATCAATTTTTCTTACTTCCTGAGGTGTTTGAAGAGGACCTGCATAGTGTCATGGTTGGTATTGGGCAGCTGTCGGACCAGCTCTTTGATGGAGTGGACTCTCTGCTTGTAGTCTGGTATCTCTGCAGAACAAAAAACAAAGTATATTAAAGTCTGAGTGAACAACCTGACCGGTCACTGAGTGATGTGCAACAGTCTTTTACTATTTCACTGATACAAAGTCGGGTAAAGTGAACCTTGATGTTAGAGGTCTATGGGATCACTTTTCCCTGACTACCTTACTGGTACTATTTCATAATGTAAGTGTTTTCTAAGTTTCCAAGCAAAGTAATTTCATTTCATTTTTCAACAGGACAATAAAAAAGATTTTAGATATAAAAAAGATATCATTGTATTTATATATTGTATTTTATTCTATTTTATCTGTTCTTCTATTCATTTTCTTATGCTTTTTTGTTTGCTAATGTTATTATAGCTTTTGAAATCTATTCTATTGCATCTCATTGTCAGCTTTCTTACTTGATTTGTTCTTTTCTATTTAGCTTATCAGTCATCTGTGAAGCACTTTGAACTGCAGTAACCTGTATGAAAAGTGCTTTATAAATAAAGTTTGACTGATTGACTGAATGAAGAAAGAAGAAGAAAAGTTCAAATCAATTGTTTCATTAATTAATATCTCTCTGCATTCAGTTTAAATTCTTTGAGTCAGCAAAAATCAGTGAAACAAAAAGTTCTCCATAAGAAGCTCCTGGAAAAAAACACTTTGAACTGAGGTCTGAAGGAAGAAGATCAATAAATCGTTGGTTTCGGGTTTTGCAGCAGTAAATTTCCAGGCACAGTCTTGCTTTTGACATAAAGAGGCTTCCACTGACAACATACTTAGTAACACAGAAAGTGCATTAAGTTCACACTGAGGGAATGCATGAATAAATAAAGGTATGTGTGCGCCACAGCTATACGCAGCACGTACTGATGGCGCTGACAAAGTCATGGAAGAGAGCGTAGGTGAAGAGAGGCTCGGGCAGCTCTCTGAAGTACATCTTTAAAGCTCCGGTGGTCACATGGATGTCCTCCCACTTCCCGTCTGCCAGGTTCACCTTCTCATCTGGACATAAACAAACCTTCCAGTCAAAGAGTAGTCCACAGACTCTTATAACACTTTACATATCAAAAAGAAACTATCACCTAAGAAATTCACCTAAGAATATTTCTAATAACCTTTCAGTCTTTTATTATTATTTTCTCCTGAATAATGGAGAAATGATGTGACTCACCATGATTGACAGCAAAGCGTAGTTTCTGTATGACAGCCAGGTTTCCACTAACTCTGTACAGCCCGTCTACACACAGACCTGCAGGGGATGATGGGAGGAAAATACCTGTTCAGTAATATCTATAAATTATTCTTATGTTTTGATTTTATTTGCTTTGAATCATCCAACACAAGGCAGTACTATATGCTTTCAGACACAGTCAAGTATTTTTACTACTCTACTACTTTACAGTGAGTGATATCTGATATTACCTGTTGTTATCAAGTGGCAGTAAACGCCATCCTTTTTTACTAAAATAAACCAGTATCACTTCCTCTTAACTCAGCTCTGGTAAAGTGACTTAAATCCAAACTCACCACTGTTCTCCACATGGTCGATGCACATCTTTACAAAGCCTGGCACAGAGCTGTTCTCCCTGTGACACAGACTGGACAGACTGCAGCCAAACACCTGATCTGAAGACACATGATGACAAAAACAAAGTCACAAAAAAAGTCCAAAGTCCTGAGTCAGCAGTGAGTGTTTTGTCAACACTCACGCTTCCAAAAACTCCCTGTGCCTTATTTCTTTTATAAAGATGAAGGTTTTCTACCTGTGTGCCTTTTAAAAATCATGTGGGCTAAAAGCTTGATGCAATACATATAGAAGTTTATTCTCATTATGAAAGTTTGATGATACAAAGAAGAACAGGATGTCAGTAAGGTCAGAGCGACATGATCTATTTTAAGATACAGCACTAATTTTTCCAACAGAAAGTATTGTATGATGTAAAGCATGTGGAAAGTGACCTAATGCAGAGACTTTACTATTCAAAACTAACTACTTGGACTGTTTCTGTGATTTAAGGGATGTCCAACTTCCTGATTTGATAGTTGACACTGTCCAGTTAAAGAATGTTTCACCAAAAAGTCAAATTTTCTTAAGATAAGGAAACAAAAGCTCAGTTTGCACATGTGTGACAATCATCTCCACATTTCATTTTTAAATAGTTTTTAAATGGTTGACTTAGCTCTCAACCCATAAATGATCTACCTTCAGTTCAGTAAAATTCAAAATCACCAAATTTGAATTCATGATCTCCACTGGAAAATTACATAATGATTTTTCCCACCAGCTAATCCAATGAATGTATGAAACTGCAATACAATGTGATGATCCATTTGTAAAAAGTTGGCTGCTGGGACACCATGTGCGTGTTTCAGATGTGAGAGAAGTTTGTGTTTGTCTCCGTTACCTTTGATGTAGCCCTTGTCTCTGACAGCCTGCAGGGTCGGGCGGCGGGTGAGGAACTTCTTCAGCTTGTGTCTGGTCTTTTTGTTGTCGGAGGCGTCCATGCTGGTGGACGTCTTCATGGCTGCTGAGGAGAGATGAGACAGGATGGTGTTGTCCAGCACTCGTACGAGAACACTGATCGCCATGACGGCCGCTCGATGTTTTGGAGCAATGAAACTGATAAGCAGTTGTTTTATACGACAGGTAATGAGGCTGTCAACATGCTGAGCCAAACACAGATAACTCCTCTAGTTGTTTTTGTACTTGATGCTTTGATTAGTATCCCGTTCAGTTTTCTTCTTTTTAGATAAGTCCTGCTATCATATTTGCTTTTTTTTCCAATTCATTCACTTTAAGCTTTGACCTTTCAAGATTTATTATCAGTTTCTCCAAAATGTTGATGTCGTATTTCACTTTTTCCCAAAATGGTATGTGCTTACAGAAACTTCCTATCGTAAGTCTTCAGTTAAGACAGGAAGAGTATTACACAAGCAAATCCTAACTAACTTTAGCTATCCATTCTTATCTCAGGTTAGGAAATCCTAAATACTCAATCTAACTTTTATCTGTTGTCTACCAACTGACTGGCTACTTTTCCCATCTCATCTCATTGAAGTATTTTTTTTGCTATGTCAGCCATTTTCACTCTGAAAATCTCCTTTTGCAAAAAAACAAAAAAACAAACAAAAAAAACTTTTGCCCAAATCAGCCGCCAACCCTAATAACCATGGTTACCAAACAGTTGAGATAGGTAATACAGCCCCGTTAAACACCATCAACCAGCACACACACCTCTGCTTTTCTTTGAGTCTCTGTGTTCTTTATCCTTGTCATGTTTGTCAAAACCAGGCGAATCAGGCATGTCCTCTTCAATGGCCTCGTCAGACTCCCAGGCCTAAGACACACACACACACACACACACACACACACACACGGAAATAAGACAGTGGTTGTAAAAGCCTCTATCTGCTGCACCTTCGGACTCTCATGGAAACAATAAACTTAATATTTTGATTACAAGTGAAACCAAACTGATTCAACCTTTGAAACAAACAGCAAGTTAACTCCCAGGCTTATTTATTGTCATTTTTATGTTGTTTTTTGATTTTATTTCTGTTTCAATTTGGTGTTTATTTTAATAGTGAGTTGAATGTTTTGGCTTTTTCATGAATGAATAATTTTATGCATGGTGTTTTATTAGGGTGGTTATTTAAGTCACTCTCTCAAACCCTACTTTGACTGACATGTTGTTCCATGCTGCACGACAAATGCTTTTGTTGCAGACCTTTGGTTCCTAAACTAATACAAATTCTGTGAGTGTTGGTACTCACATGGGTGCTGATGGTGTCCTGCAGCGCTCGGTACCAGTCATTGATGACACCGTCATTTTCTGACTGGATTAGCAGCTCTGTGCCCTGTCGAGTCTTCAGCTGCAACCAGGAGAGAGACACAAAGGATGTTGTATTTTTTAAATCATCTTTATTGCTTTTTTTCTTTATGTATTCTCTGTGTATGTGGGCTCATGAAGTGTTTCAGTGGCAGGAATTAAAAGTATCCGTCATTTTTACATATCTACATCCAAAATATGATAATTTTGTTGTGTTGCTGGAAGCCGAAACAAATTTAATCTTTAGAGTTTTGGAATGAAAAACGAGCAAAAATGTATAAAGAAAATTTCTGAGACTACATTTGAAAGATTGTTTTGTTTGTTTTTAAGACCTTTCAGGGCTTTCAAGCTATTAAATTATAAGATATTATTAAAAAAAACAACAGAAAAGCTGATTCAAAACAAGCAAAAGACTGAAGAGCACATAATCTTGATGTGAGCTCTGCCCCACCTCTATAACGTGCTTCTTGCTGGATTTGTCCTTGGAGGCCCATTCCACCGAGCCGCCCCTCAGATCTACAGTGAACTCAGGTTTGGACTGACCGCCTCCAAACTAGACAGAAACAAGAAAAGAATCAAAAGGAGGCAGATTAACACACAAAGGACCTGCTCATATATAGATATACCTTCCAGTACAACTCTTTTCAGCTTTCACCACTCTGTTAAATGCTCTGCTATTGTGGAGGACTATCCTGTTGGCTGTCTGCCCTTAACTGTCTTGTAGTTGTATTAGTCTTAACAACTGACACAGACACAGAAGGAATTTATGAAAGGATAATGAAGAAAACTAACTAAAAGACATGTTTATGTTCCATATATACACTCAGCTGGTTTATTACACCTAGCTAAAACTAATACAACAGTTCTGCAGTAAATCGGCGTGCATGAAGGCTCCAAGGTCCTAATAAACTGACAACTGAGTGTATATGCATATGTTTAATTCAGAATTGAAATAAAAGGTAATTCCAATAAATTATTTGAAATCTACCTCTTTGAATGTGTATGCATGCTGGAGTTAAGATCTCAAGGTGAAGAAAAATGACCCAGTTACACAACCAAACCTCATTACCATTTCTTTTACCTTGAGAGCTCATTAACTGCAGGAAAAAAAAACAAAAAACTTTGCAGACTCTAAAAGACTAAAGGAGTCTGTTCAGTTTTGCTCTATCAGCCAACACACATGCAAGTAAAAAATGAAAGTAATCCTTCCTGTGTGTCATGCTCTGTCCGTGTAATCAGAAAGCATGACAGCAGACCTCCATCTGAAGGCTGAACTTTACAACTTAGAACAAGGAAACAACTGTCTGATAAAGGTGTTTCATGAACTCCATCCTGACTTCTGGGGCAAAAACATTAGCCAAATGCCTATAATGTAAAATACTTATTACTGTTTATTGTCCCCAGTCTTTGCCTGATGCTAGTGACTGATAACACAGAGGGGTTGGGGTCAGAGCATGACAGACAGGACGGAGATGTCGTGCAGAGGAGGAGAGAGAGAGAAGCACACAGAAGGAAGGAGGAAGCACATACAGAGGAGGCACGGTCGAGCCCTGAGCAGCCATAGGAGACAGCAGGACGTTTCTTAGCAGACGGTCTCCAGCTACTCAACAGTGACAGGAGAAATTCAGGGAGGGAGCCACTGTGGTAGAATGGCTGCATTGAGGGATGGAGGGGGACGAAGAAAAGGAAGATGGGAGGGGAGGGGGGTGAAGCCAAAGGTAAAGAGATGGAGGCATGGAAAGAGAAGGGAAAGGAAACATCCGGGAAGGAGAAAGTTCAACCCCAACTTCCCTCTAGTGACCTAACAAATTACTCAAAAACTTTAGGTGCTGCATTGACAAATCATAGAGGGCATAAAAACTGAATCCTGCAGAATAAAAAAGGCAGCAGCCTCTTTTAGACGGGCTCAGATAATCAGACTTTCCTTTTGGTTTGAACTCAATGGAGGAGGCCTTTTAACATAAAAGAGCAGCAGCAACAATAACTACACAGAGATAACAGACTCGTCCTCGCCCTCTGTTCAACGGCCCTGAATGATTGATAACAATAGTCTATTGTATGTACCTTTGTCTAGACAGCAACACCACAGAATTACTGACTTGATGAGACATAACTTTTCTTGAAAAGAGAAAAGAAAAATGTTTCTGTCACTCACCCAGCTGGTTCCACCTCCTTGTCCTTTGGCAAACAGCAACGTGGATCCTTGGAGGACTGTCCAGGAAGAAGTCCAGTTCTTCCTGCAACAGATAGTTGATAAAAACTCTTGAGTGTGGAAAGTAAATGTATAGTTTTCTGTGTGTTTGTTCAGCAATAGAGCAGGTTATAATTTGAGTCTGAGCTACCAAAAACAGTCAAGTACTGAAAGCTGCATCAAATGCCTGGTCAGACTCTTACTGTTCATTTATTCTTTGATGACATATTTGAATAATTTAATAATTTGGACAAAGTTCTTGTACATTTCTTTGTGTTAAGATGTAACATTTATGCATTTGAGAAGTTAACTGTATTTACAACAAAGAATAATTTGGTATCCGTCCTGAAACTTTAGGATCACACTGGCACAGCGACTAAAGGCTGCACAACTGTACTCAAGAGTGTATCTGTGAAATTTAAAAAACATCCCTCTAAATGGTCGTTAATGCTAAAGAAAATCTATTAATTTTGATAAAGAATAAACCAAGTGTTTATAACTGGAACCAAAATGAGGATGTTTAAAAAAGTACTAAACGATTAAAATGAGCTTCAAGCAAAACTAACGTCCACGTGACGCAGGATTATTACACTGGACTAGAGTTAACTAAAGCGTCAGAGCTACTCACCGTACTTTCTTGCCGTTCTCAGTGATTTTTGTCACATTCAGAACCCCACACTTTTCAGACGGCTGGAGAGAAAAAAAACAAGCATTAAAGCAGCATCATTTTACAGACACATCCATCACACAAACTATGACTGACAACCACTGCAGGATCACAGAGGAGAAAGCTGCTGTCAAAACTACATATTGGTAAACAATAAGCATGTGTCAATCAATTGTAAAACACCGCCACCGCAAAAAATACACCGCCACCAGAACAATTGCAGCTTTAAGTTTGGAGGAAAAACAGACTGTTGTCATTATTCCCGCTCAGGAAAGGCAAGAGACTAAACATGAGAGAGAGCGAGAGAGAGTGTAAAGAGACATCAGAGTAAAACACATGAGAAAAGGCTTTGGATTCTTGGCAAAGCTCCTGCAGCATTGAGCCAGTGATCTGTTGCCTTTTCAGATTAAGAAGCAAAGTTTTGGGAAACAGAACCAGGAGCAAACCCCAAAAATATTTTAATGTCTATTGACTACAAAAAGTGTATAATTTAAACAAACCCAAGCAATACGCCTAAGGACCTATTAGCACAGTGTTTCTACACAGGTTCAAGTTCAAATTTTCTTGCTGCAGCTTTGTTGTCTGCTGTAACTCTCGACTTTCCTCTAATTATTTCCACATTTTCCAGACCTGTGGAGGAACCCTGCAGTGAGCTGCAACATGTGCCACTGCTCACAATCTCAGAACAAGTTAAACTCCTGCAGGCTGAGGCGAGGTGAGGAGGCGAGGTTATAGCAGGGGTGAGTACTAACAGAGGCGGGGGGCTTGGGAGACGAAGGGCAGGAGTCAGAGTCAGGAGAGGGGGGCTTGGGGCTCAGAGGAGCATCCTAGTGAGGAGACAGGGATGAAGAGAAAAAAAAAAACACTGTCATATGGGATAACAACAGAAGGTTAATGAGAAGATGATGTGAGGTTAAGAAGATGGCAATTAGCGGTGAGATTATAATGCATAAGGTGTGTCAAGTACCTGCATGATGACCAGGAGGCACGAAAGAATTATCAATTAGATGTGGATATAAGTAGAATATTTCCCAGAATGCTCATGCACCTACAAACTTTTTCATTTTTAGTATCATGAGTATTATTTGAAAATAAATCATTTTTGTGGTCAAACACTTGAAAGTTTAAGCTCATTAAGTTAATAATTGACTTTTTGACTGAATTTCTTAGTGAAATGATTTAAATGAACTCAACTCAATCAACTCAGTGAATCATGTGAGATAAAAGATGATTTTGACCTGGAGACAGTAATGTAATTAGTGCTGCTGTTGTGTGATTATATTCATGCAAGCTGATTGTCTGCTTGGATTTAAGGGACAAGGCTCTGATTAGTTGGTCCGACAGACTACTGACTTTGTGTTTGTACGGGTGTAGGCGGGTGGAGAATGCGCGGAAACGCCTTTTTTTTGACAGCCGCTGCAAAGAAACAAGTCTACAACTGAAACTCTGCACTGACCAACGAACACAACAGAGAACAGCTGCACCTGCAACAAACTAATTCTGTGAAATAGGAATCATTAAGCACAACTGGCAGGTGGATTGTAAAATGTACTTTTTGGTGTTTTTTTTTGTTTGTTTTTTTTGCTAGTAGAGAAATAAAGTATTGAACAGTGGACCAGTCTTTAGTCTGTGCTTTGCAGATTTGGGTGTCAGACCTTGTCATTGGGCTCTTGGACATAGGCGCTGTGTCTCCATTTGGTTAGGACGATGGGCTCCATGTGTTTCCTGTCCAGACTGCGACTTTTTGGAGCATCTCCGGACGGCTGTGGAGGGGAGAGGTTGTACTGGCGGGAGGGAACGAGGAATCATACGGCATCAATATACAATACTTTTAATTTTACAAAATGAGAATTTTCACACATGGCTTTTTACCGGAATATGGCAAGTATCCATTCTCACTTAAAACTGATCAAGTGTGCCTTATCCTTGCCTATGTTTGCACAATGTTACAATTAAAAATTCATCTGAAAAGTTCCCATTAATAGACATTTGTGGACTAATGTTACATATTTACACGACTTTCTGCAAAAAGTGACAAATCACACTAGAGCAGCTTCATCTTCAGAATAATGCATTTCAGTGCTAAAACTAATTCAACTAACTTAGCACTTTGATTCTTTAAAAAAAACTGTCAACAACTGATAATCAGTTAATCATTTCAGTAATTTATCAAGCAAAAATACCAAAAATTCACATTTTTGCGCTAAACAACTAATAGATAAATGAGGAAATAACTGATTTATTCGGTGGTTCGGTCCCCGGCTCCTCCAGTCTGTGTGTCAAAGTATCCTTGGGCAAGATACTGAACCCCACTTTGCCCCTGATGGCTGTTCCGTCGGTGTATGAATGTGTGAGTGAATGGGTGAATGTCGCAAGTATTGTAAAGCGCTTTGAGGGGTCAGTAAGACTAGAAAAGCGCTATATAAGTGCAAGTCCTTTTATCATAATTTATGAAAACAATCATTAGTTGCAGCCCCTCTGATCTCACCTCCCATTGTAACACAGCCAGGTTGATAACGGAGCATGAGTATATAGATTTCACACCATATTATCTCTGAGTACAGTCAGTCCAGTCACTTTGAGCATTTCCTTTCATCTGTCTGATAAACTGTAAGGACTGCTACAGAGTCTTACCTTTGGCAGCTCCCACTCTGACCTGGAGCCGTCTGCACTGTAGTAATAAGGCCTGCCCTGGTCATCCACGTGTTTTAACCACTGGTGTGCGAGAGCCGTGGCAGCGCCACGCTACAGCACACACACACACACACACACCACACACACACACAGCACACACACACCACACGACAACACACACCACACACACACACACACACACACACACACACACACACACACACACACACACACACACACACGCCACATGTAAATTATGTCACTTTAATTTGAATTTATTCAATAAATCCATTTCTGTGGACATGCCTCTGTAATTATTCTGATTAAAACTATTTCTAGATAATGAGGAAATTGCTTTGCCTTGTGAGAGAAAATGAACAGTTCAGTATTTACATCCTTTCTCTCGTAGGGGTGAGTAGTCACTCTCATGCTGTGGTGTTACAACCTGGCCTAGTCAGTGTGGAGATAACATTTCCGTTCCGCAATACAGGTAGAAAATCACCATAAATCAACCCAAAATCCATTCCCCCATGCATCCCCAGAAACCACCACAGTAAAGAGACAGCAGATCAGCCCTGTGCAGTCGGTACCTTCTCGTTAGTATAGTCGCTGACGTACAACGTGTGGCCGTGCTCGTCCATCTCCTCCGACCAACCACGCGGCGGCGAGCCATACTGACTGTCTGACTGGCTAGAGTAGGTACTGAAGCAGTTGTCCTCCGACGACAGAGGCTGAAGTCGACCAATGGAGAGCGAGAGGAATGGAAGGAAAGACGGCGAGAGCGAGAGAGGAGTGGTCTACCATTAGAATAAAAATGAAAGAGAGACAAAAGAGAGGGAATCTTTCACCATGGAGTTACAGAGGAGAAAAGACAGACATGCGCCCACAACCAATAAATCATGAGAAACTGTCCGACAGTTTAACACAGCACAGACAAAACCAGAAAACCCATCAGAGTAAAACAATCACCACTGTTCATGCTTCTTTTTGGATGTTATGTTATGGTGTAAATCTAGAGGTGGCTGCTGCAGTGACGGTAGCAGCTTTTCACCTGTAGGTGGCAGTGTGGTACAGCCATTTAAAGAAGCAGAGGCTGACTCAAAATCAGAGATGACTTCCAAATTATTCAGGCTGGTTATGTCAGAGAGAGAGAGAGAGAGAGAGAGAGAGAGAGAGAGAGTGTGTGTGTGTGTGTGTGTGTGTGTGTGAGAGAGTGTGTGCGTGTGTGTGTGTGTGTGTGTGTGTGTGTGTGTGTGTGTGTGAGAGTGTGTGAGAGAGTGTGTAAGAGAGAGTGTGAGAGTGTGTGTGTGTGTGTGTGAGAGTGTGTGCGTGTGTATGTGCGCGTGTGTGCGTGTGAGAGAGAGAGAGAGAGAGAGAGAGAGAGAGAGAGTTGACCACAAATATAATCAGTTACATTGTCATAATAGTCAGTGTTTACATGTGAATCTTCCAAATGAAAGAAGTCTGCATGTGGTTTTTTTTAATCACAGTTTTTCAAGAACGAATTATTCTGGTGTTGATGTCTAATAAAGCTGCATGTCAGGAAGAAAACTAAACAAAACATTGAGTTCTCCCATCACAACCGGTCATCGCCAAAAGAACAATTATGCAGACGTCTCACTCTGTCTACATGCACACCGTTGTTAATCATGAGGAAGACACAATGTGAAATGACTTCTGGCTTTTATGCTGTGTTGTTATCTATTTGATATCTAATAATATTCAGTAATTAATGTCTCTGACTCATTATGCTTTAACACTGTCTGAGTGTATGCAAGTGTGTGTGTGAGTTATTGTAAATTCTACTCTTGTGAAAACCAGTTTGAGCTCAGAGAGATGACATTTTTGCAAAGCCAGGTCATTTTGGCCAACCCTCACCTGTTCATCTGTTTTGTACATGGAAATACTTTCAGTTTTTCAGTTGTCTAATCCACACTTTCTATTGGATTGCCTATCTATTTTAAGTATTTTTTCCTCTTTTTTCACATTTTTATTCTTTTTTCATTTATATTCTATGGATCTTGACATACAGTGAATTGTTTATCTCATGTTTAGTATGTTTTTGTTTATGACTGATGTAATGATGTAATTGTCTCAGGTGTTGATGATTTGGCTCCTTTTTGTCTGGTGGTTGTTGACTGTGGGTCTAATATTCGCATTGTGAATTTGGTGCCTGATGAAGGTCTATGCCCGAAGCATTGCACAATATCTTTATTTAACTCCCGACAGTGTGGAGGAATTCAACTGTGTCTTCTGCTTAATAAAGGTGCTGAAAAAAAAACAAGTTTCTGAATTAAGTAAGATTAAATTTGAGGTTTTATTTTATAATACGGGTTAATGGCTGATAGACAGATCCTCTCAAAATAGCTGCTCAGACAGTCTGAAAACAATGAGATCCTTGTTTCAGATGTTCACAGATGAGACTTTCTGAAAGTGATAGACAGTCACATCTGCTTTCTGCAGTGACTGAGCAAATGTTCACGTGTGAAATGACAAAGACCCGAGCTTCGTAAACTCATTTCTCAAATTCTTATATCCTCCTCTGCTGTTGTTCACATATTTATGAGCTGACTGGATTGTATCTGTGTTTGCAGTCACAGAGAGGAGGTTGGCTTTCAGTGAAGAAACGTCAATCAGGACCAAAACTTTAACAACTTCGCCAATAGGACTCTCCCTACACCTCTACTCCATGTTTAAAAAAACATCACAAGGCCACAAAAGAATGTGGCTACCTGTGTGTTACCTGTAAATGCCATGTTTTCTATTTCTGTAGCTTCTACCTGCGACCTCTTGTTGCATTTTGAAACCCCTCCCCCTCATTTTGATGACTGGTTTCTTGCCTCAACTTTAAGGGTACCTTTAACGGTAGTCTGCTTTTTCAGCCTAACTGCTTTTTATATACTGGTAATAGGCTTCCTGGCAATCCAGGCATCCAATCAACCACCTGTTTGATACACAATTATTGTTTTGCTTTGATTGATCATTGTTACAAAAAGCAATTGTGACGTGTGATTATTATTGCTTTTATAAGAAGCAACTGGCACTTTTTCATTTAGGACTCAGAGTTTTGTCATAGGAAGTTCTTTTTAAAGATTGATTTAAAGTAATGTGTTTACATGTGTGTGTGTGTGTGTTTCTTTGAACTCTTTATACAGTGCATGATCTGTACCTCAGAGCTCTCTCCTGCACTGTGGTTTTCTCCTCTGGAGTTCCCGGTGCTGGCGTCCCTGGCTCGGGGCGGCTTCCAGGTCCTCTCCTGGGTGGAGCGGTTGTAGTAGAAGTGCCTGCCATTCTGGTCTTTGTAGGTCTCCCAGTCGCCCAGCGTGTGGAGGGGGGAGCCGGAGGGCAGAGGGGGCAGGTTGGTCTGGGTGATCTTCAGCTCCTGGAGGTTGGTGTAGACAGGCGACTCGGAGCGGCCCTGGCCTGACGAAGACACAGTCTGTTGGAGGGACACAGAGAGAAAAAGAGAAAGAGAGAGAGAGAGAGGTAGACCTGTGAGTCATCAGTGAGTCTGTTATATAATCAGGGAAAAGCTCCTGGACAGCATGATGTAAGAAATTCACAGCTTTCAGAGTGTAAATCAACAGCTGCACATGCAAGCTGGTGGACACTTCATCAAAAATACCTTTAAACACCTTCAGTGCTTCCATCTCAACACCCCCTCACTGCTAATGCCATGTTCCTGTTGAGCTCCACATGTACTCAATCACAGAGTCTTTTTTGTGTCTGTGCTGAGCAGCAAGCAGCATTGGAAAGTAAAAGAAATGACTGTGAAATGTCTGTCGTTGAAGCTGACAGCCAGTGTTGACCACAGAGGAGCAGACTGAACCCACGAGGAGGAGGACAAGGGAAGTAAGCGCAGTTGTTATATAACTGAGAGTGGCAGGGACCCATGTCAGGTAGAAATAAGGAAGTAAAACTGGCACACAAGATGCATCCTGAACATCTGGACAGTTTGTCCAGGCTCATCCTTACAGCCCTGGAACTGTGGAAATGTGTAAATATGGATCATTTTTGTACAATTTCAATAGAGGCCCGAGTATATTATTAGAATATTGGGGTATCAAAATGGCAGTTATGTGGATGCCTATTCGTTTTCACAAACAAAAAAGACCCATCCCAAAATAAATTCCCTACACTTCTACAGATAGGAAGGTCCACAAATAATGGTTATCATCATTATCAATTAACCTGCCAAATATTTTGATATCTTGATTAATTGGTCTATAGAATAAATAAACATCTTCAAACATATGATCATATTTGAGAAAATGGAACCATCAGAGGTTTGGCATTCAATCAATCAACTGATTATGATCATAAAATCATCATGTTCATTTTCTGCCAATTGACTACTTGATTGAATGATAATAATTTCATCTCTAATTTGGCATTGACCATTTTGATAAACAAAATATTTTCAAAATTAAACCCTTCATTGCAGATTTATAACAACTATTTGTTCATTGTTACTCTTTGAAAGGATCGACTTGAATCCTGGACTTGTCAAATTAGATTTTTATTTCTGTTCAGACAGTATGGACTGACACTGACAGACCTGTCAGATCACGAGGAAAAACATGAATTATGTTTCAGGTCCTGTTAATTTATGACCTGCAAATCAGGTCTCTGGGCAAAACAAAACCTCTGACAAGTTACTGAAACACTGCAGAAATTTTCCTGTTAAACAGGATGGGAAACCTGACCAACCACAACCCAAATGTTTTTATCCGTTACTGGTAAGATGAGAGTCGACTGTACAGTCACTTAGTCAGGTGACCAAACATGATTTTAAAAAAATGTAAGTTAATAAAGAGGGAAATAAGCCATTGACTGCAGGTTAATAAATTACAACCCTGTTGACAAGTGAACAAAAAGTGAGTTGAACAACATTTCCACTGCTGTAGAGCAGCCAGAATGCTGCCTCTAATGACAGAGTATCCTTCTTCAAAACCTGGACGCATGACTGATCCAGTCAATGGGCGGCTTGTCATGATTATTTCAAGCTGGTATTACAAAGGCTGCACAGCGACTGGGCAAAGAGAGTCATAAATAATGCCGGTGCCCCGAGGCCTCCTAACATTGGCTCTGTGATGTTTTTATTGCACAGGGATCAATAGGGATGAAATATGCAGTAGCCGAGCAAACAGCTGGAGGTACCCAGGAGAATCCAATATTCAGCGGACTAGAGGAAGCCCAAGAAGTCTGCTGTTACAGAACCACAGCATGACAAAATCACAAAATTAAGGTGGTGAGTGCATATATAATACATAATGTATATATCTTCTACCACTAGAGAGGCTAGCATTTGACAGAAAGGCACACTGGTTGGAAAGCCCAGAGGAAAACTTGCCATTGAGGAAAGTCAGACTTCCAAAGTAAAAGACTGCTTTTACCACTCTGCAGTGCTAATGTGCAAACCTGCAAGATGCAGCTCAAAAAGTTAACTTGTGCTCAGTAATAAAAATATATCAAACATTACCTCTGGTGGTGAGCAACTTGTAAACACATCATCCTTTTCAGGCATTGAGAATGCTCTGAGGAAACTTCTCCTCCAGCGGATCAGTGCCATCGTCCCTGCTTGATATTTAGAGTTTGAGTCGTCAGTCTCTTTTAATGCATGCAGCGTACAACCCTGGTGACACTGGTCTGTGGTCTTCCTGTATAATACTGAGTGAACATGTGATACCATGCATGAATCTGTCAAAGGGGAAGTCCATATAGTCAATCAAATCTTAAAAAGCCAGTTGGGTTCTATAACACTTGTGTGCCAGCTACAAAACCACATTTTCCTCCCAAGTCTGCTCTGAAATGTAACATCACTCAAGTGGCGGGAAGCTCAATAAACAGGAAGCTTTATACTGCTTTGCTGGCAGACAGATATCGGACATCCTCAAATGGATTCTTAAAACTGATTTCAAGTCTGAGCGTTACTGTTTGGCTGAGATCATTTTTATTTCATTAGTTTTGGTTTGGGTCACAAGGTTGTAAATCCTTCTCAGCATTGGGATGATGTATAACTCAAACTTAAAAAAAAACACTAAAACTGCTGATGCTCTTCCACAGACTGAAGCAATATGAGCTAAGTCAAATAACAGCTCTCATTATGTAACTAAAGGCTGCACTGCCAGGCTGGCTCATTAATAATGCACAAGTCGTCGCTTAACTCCATTATAGTAGCAGTATATTCCTGAGCAGCTGGTGTGGGACATCTGGTGTGAACAGACTGACCACCTAATCAATACTGAGCTCTAAAACCACCGAGCCACAGTGGGACATTAAGAGGTTGACCTGTTGTGCTGAGGAAGCTGCTCTCTTTGATAGTACACTATGCTTTAAGTAAAGGTTGCCAGGTGGACAAGTGTCACAGTGTACTGCAGCATAGCACAGAGAGGGGAATTGTTTTGGGTGTATGGGGTTACACAAATAAAAGTCCTGTTCATTTTCAACAAAGACAATGTTAGATGACTAACAGTTGGAGCATTTCCGAGGCTTGAATGGACATGAAACTCTCCCGGTTGAATCATTAATGGAGAAGATGAGCAGTATAATATAGTAAATATCCAGTTGATTGCGAAAAAGTCAAAATGTACATAAAACCGAGTCAAGTCGTGATCCTTTCAGTACAAAACGTCCAATCCCTGCGCTTAAAATTCTGCTGCTTCCACCAATAACAATGACCTAAAGCTAAAGATTAGCCTTTGTTGAAGTCCAATAAAATTCTGCTGTTTAACCCAGTTCACTTTTAGATCCTGGGTCAATTTTGACAAATTCAGCAAATATGGTGTGATGTTTGTTCCTAACTGCAACAATAAAACATCTTAAACTTGCCACTGCTTTGATTTGTGCCTATGACTGGCTGCAGATAGCTCATTCAAATCACAGTGTTTACATCTGTGGGCCATCACAATGTGACAAAAAAATTACAAAAACATGGGACGTTTTAGTAAAAAAAAAAAAAAAGGCAATCAGATAAACCTACAGTACCTCCAGTAGTGTTTAATTATCTAGGAAAGTACTTTGAGGATTTCATTAATTAAAAACTTTGATTTTTTACTATAGAAAAGGATAAAAATGCTTCTTGAACCAGCAGTTGTTTAAATTTGTATGGAGATAAACAGCCAACAGTGTTTATACTGGTGACTCTTGCAAACATGCAAAATAAATATACAGAAGGACATCTGACAATAACCTCCCCTTTAAGGAGGAAACAGGCCACGAGCTGGAGAACTCAAACTGAACTGATGGTTACACAATCTGACCATCGCAACACTGACCAGTGAAGCCTCAGTCACACCAGTGGCTAACTGTAACCACAACACCTACTGTACAGTCTACTGACAGAGGCTCTGAGCCTGAGGTCACGCTGGACTGCAGCAGCCAATTAACCCTTCTGATTGCAGCTCAGCAAACTCTTAATTTCCTATTTCAGGCCAGAACAGGGGTTAATGGGTAGAGAATGGAAAGGGCCTGAGAATGACACTGCCAATTCTTGATAGAAGACGCGCATAGTCTTATCTGCACCGCCTGCAGCTCTGCGGTGGAAGAATAATCGGCCGGTCCAGTGTTCTTCAGCCAGAGATAAACCACATCAGAGCCAGAGAGAAACAGCAATAGAAAGAAAAGGGAGAAGATTTGGGACTTTAAGGCAGTGAACACATCATAGCTAATATTAGACAGAAATGGCTGCAGATGTTTAAGCATCAGTTTATATTTAGACTAGACAGGTGGGAGATTCAAAATGCTGCGGTCACTCTAAAATAGCTCAGGGTTGCTTTTCAAAAGTTAACACAAGGTTAAGTCTGCTGGCTCCTTCCCAGGTTTTGTTTCAGTTGTGGTTTCATTGGTTTGTTTCGGTGGTTATGGATCATTTGATTCAACGCTCTTGACTTCAGGTTGTTTATTTTGTCTGACCAGCAGTTAAAACACAAAAATATCCTCTATATTGTTTTGAGACAGAGAAAAATGTAGCAAATCTCTTTCCTTAAGAGAAGTACACGTTTCATAGTTCTGCTACAAAATAAACTAGTATTCAATGAATCAATCACTAGAATTGTATCCAGCTTCTCAAATGTGAATATTTTAGGTTTTTCTTTGTCATAAGTGATAGTTAACTGAATATCTTTGGGTTTGGGACCACTGGTTGGACAAAACAAGATTTATTTATAACTTCCCACATCCCAAAGTGATGTCTTTAAATGAAAGACATCACTTTGGGATGTGGAACGTTATAAATAGCATTTTTTGCTCTTTTTTAACATTTTATAGAAAAATTATTAATTGAAAAATTGAGGAAATAATCTGGAGATTAATCGGCAATCAAAATAATAATTAATGGTATTTTATTGATTAGATGTTTAATCAAAAAAAAAAAAAACGTAAAACAAACAAAAAGATTTGTTGCAGCATCATGCGTCTATTTCAAAGTCACAGTCAATA